GATAATGGTGGTGCAGTGCCACACTGTGGCTGAGATCTGATGGATGATACAAACATGAAGACATTTCATCAAGCAAACACAGACGATGCAATGCTCCAAAGAAGAACAATACGAGTTACAAAATGTAAAAAAAAAGGGGAGATTGAAGTCACAGAAAAATGAACATTAATGCAAAACCATGACATAGACAGTTAAACATCAAGGATGAAATGTAAGTATTGACTTGGTCTGGGGGAATAGTTGGAGATATTTACATACTTCCAAGCATCATCAGTGACTGTCTCTTGGAGCGTTCCCGTCTTTAACAGCTGTGAAACTTTTCACAGCTGCAGACACTGTAAGGACACACTTGCAGAGCCTTTTGCGAGTCCTCAAGGTCACATGAAAGTCTTTAAAGGGTCGTCAAAAGATGTGGGGTCAGTCCAGATTCTAGAAGACTCACTGGACATTAACGAAATGATGATCGGCACACTGAAAATGCTCAAGATTTGAGTGCGATTTGATGTGCAGTGTTTTCCATATAATGCAAAACAGAAAGGGAATAAGAACGCTTCTTGCAGACACTTTATGGTGTGGTTGAGACAAATGTAGATTCTTAAAAAAATATAGTTTAATCAATGTCTGTGAGAGCACAGATTATCTGGATTCCTCTGATATTATGCAGGAACTTTTAGAGGCATGCATGTCTGTTACTTTAAAGTTAATAGATTATAAAATGAGTGCAGTACAGCACTGCGACTTGGCATCAGGGTATTTCCCTCATAGGTACTTATTGGAGTGTGACACCTGTAACCCGGGTCAGGCCTCTGAGTTGGAGGATGTGTGGCGGCAGTAATATATAACAGTAGATGGTCAGTGTTGCTGTTATGTTGATTCATCATTATCAGGTTGAAGTTGTTGCCATGGCGATGCCACACAAAACATCTCCCCACCTCCACAGCTTAATGCATACTTTGACTTAAATTGGCCACTGTTATTTATCGCTGCACCAATCTATCACCAGTTAGTGTTACAGACATGTTGGACACCATTTTATACGATCCTTTCTTATTCACCTTGACATATTTGATAACTCAAACTAGATTTGATAAGAACGACTACATGTTGTGTCTGTTAATGAATGCATCTCTCAGTGCCTGTAATGATATGTAAATTAACTGCCAATATCTGTGTAAACAAGCCCGGCAGGTTGTCTGTGCTGGACGGGGACCAGTTATTGATTTCTCAGGAATTTGTGGTGTTCAGTGAAATTGGAGCTTATCTCACACAGGTCGTTATCGGCGCTCTTCTCAGGCCCTGCCTCAGTACTGTACCTGACAGGCCTGTAAAGAGAAATGTTTGTGTAGTCCATACTGACACGTAGATTTGTGCTTTCTCCCTCAGTGAGAAAACCCCCCCGAGGCATTGAATACATGCCACATGATTTATTGTGCCTGTTAAAATGCAAATGAGGCAACGGGCAGAGGAAAAACAAGTGCCGTCTGCTACACTATAGTCACCTATGAGTACACAGAGCAGAGGCACACTCCTGCCATCAAGAGAAAATTAAGAATTGTAAACTACTGTGCAGCCAAGGGGAGGAAGATAGCGAGCATAAACAGAACGTCTAGATTGACCATGGGCTGTGTTTTCACTTGAAAATGCATCTGTCATAAAAGTGCAGTAAACACAAACATAAAAACGTGTTGGAGAGGCGTAAAGAATCATTTTAAATGGAACTATCAATCACCGCAGAGGCTGTGTAACAGTGGCTGTCTGGGGTTTTAAAAACAGTGCAAATCATGTGGCATCAAGGCCAAACGTCTACAGGATGAAGTCTATAGCTAAAGTCTGTGTTTTAAAGCTGAATATGTGTCAACGGGGACTCCTGATTCAACGGCGGCCCAGTGAATCATGGATCATCACCCGCCCTCATTTGTATCAGTAACTTGTTTAATCGTGCATCGGGGCAGCGCTTGTCAGCTCGTAAAAAAGGCGGGACATTTACATGGCGGTGATAAATACGTCGCATAAACTGGACCAATGAAAAGTAATTGCAGGATGTTTGTTATGAAACCTGGAGTTAAAAGATAGAGCGTTACAGCACCGTTAAAAATCTTAGATGACATAACGAGAGAAATGATGAGATGTGGTGAAATGGTGCCAGGTTGGTTTAGTTGTGTTGGAGTAGTGAGCTGGTTCCCTTGATACACATAGGATTGAGTGTTTGCATGTCCTGGTGGATCTTGAAAAATGCATTCAATGTATTTTAATTCCTCAAACAGTTTGATTTTCTTTGGTCCAAATTGGCCACGATCTGTGTAAAAATGATCCCCAAGGACTCGAATCAGATGAAAAATAAGCTTTAGAAGAGATTGTTGAGAAAATGGACGCCTTTATCGGGCCCGATGCGGCAACAAGAAAAAAACATGAAGCCTGCAAGATTTAGACTCCATTGAAAGCATCCGTCATATGTATGTGAGAATTGCACCATAAATGTTTTATTTCCTGTTTAAAGTATTGTGGTAAGTCTTCTGTTTCAGCCCCTGTGCAGTATGAATGTGACTCTGTTAACAGGTTTTCAGATCTTGTCATTAAGACTTTTCAACAATGAATGGAGAACAGGTTAATAACAGGAGTACAAACTGAAGTTGCCTTGACACTGAACTTATGTTGAAGGGAAGTTTTGACGCCATCAGCTCACGTTTTGGCCCTCGTGTTTCGTCCTCCTTCAGACTGTTTTCTAAAAAATAAAGATAAATTCAAATGAACCAATCACAGAATATGCTACAAAAAAGACTTTGGCTCCCTGAAACACTGCGTTCTTGTTCTTTTCTCCGAGAATCCTCCTCTGACATTTCCCTGGTAAATCGTGCTCTCAGGTTGCATACAAAGATGGGAATTTGGCGATCATTTATTTGTCCCAGATTTCCGAAATGTCATCAAATGCCAAGAAAACCAATGATGAGAGCGTGGTAAGCAGTTGTTGAAATGCAAAGCCTCAAAAGCCTGAGCTGCCTTGGACTCTCAAATCCTGTTTATTCCATCCTGTCTCCGAACTGCATGAGCATTTATTTACGGGGAATAATCTGCGGAAGAAAATAACTCGCATTTGCTCTTTAGCCTCGTAGTGGAATTATAAATGTGACGAGTGCTTGCATGTGTTGCGATAAGAAGCGGCTCAGATAACCCCTCTTAACCTTTATGTTTCCTCTGAAGTTTTGGAGTTGCTCAAAAAATGATTGAATGGCAAGAAAGAAAAAGAACAAGCTCGAAGTTTGGTCACTTTCTTTTTTGGATTGGAAAGGGGGCGACTGTAGCCACATGGTTAAGACATTTAACCCCCAAGTTGCTCCTCCTGCTTCTGCGGTGGCCTATAAATGTGTATGAATGGATAAATGACTTCTGATGGTCACTTTACACAGCAGCCCTACCATCAGTGTGTGAATGTGTAGGTGTGACCTGCGGTGTAAAAGCGCTTTGAGTAGTCAGAAGACTAGAAAATAAATATATAAGCTCAAGTCCAGGTAGGAGGCTTCTTTAAGAAAAACACGTTTTGGGTTTTGATTTCTGTTATGTCTTCTTTGCTGTTGACTGTTAATACAATCTTGTTTTTTTAAGTGAAAATCAAGGGTAAGGGTTAGGAAAGTATTTCTTAATACAAACAAATTCTACCAAGTAAGCAGGTTAGCCTAAAATATTTAAATAAGTATCACTGAACATGTTTGCTGTTGTTGTATTCTCATCAGTAGGTAGTATTTGCACTGTGTTTCATACTCTTCCAACTCACATTTTCTAACCTTCAAACATCAGAAAATGTTGTTTTTTTTGGTCTTGTATTTTCACCTCAGGCCGAGAAATCTTAAACATGATGTATTATGTCAAGGTCGTACTTTCACTTTATTTCTTACCTTTCCATTGCTTTTTTTTTTTTAACATCACATTTTCTCACTTCACTTTTTTTTTCATACATCTCTTCATTGCAGCAGGGATTTAATGCTGCTCTTTTGTTTTTCCATAAAACATTGAGCTAAACTGTGTAGGCTGTCTTTGAAAAAAAAACCATGCGAACAAAACAGCAGAATTATTACCAGCAGGTTCAAGGTTGTTTTTCCATCAGGGAAAATATGTCAGCATCCATTAGATGGATTGGGTTGAACATTTGCAGACAGTGAATCATATAAAACCTGCCTCTTTGAAACATCACTTATGTATTACTAATTTATAACAGCAAACAAGACTTTCCCTAAAAATCATTTGGTATATTACTTTTCCTCCAGGTATAACTGATTTTAAAATGTTACTTTTGATTTTTATTGTTACATAAACTGATCAGTGGATGGGTTCATCCGATTTACTGTGGTAATCTTACATTTTTCTCTTGTGCTACTTTGCTCTTTGCAGCCACCAGATTGAATGCCATTAAATGTGGTACAGGTATTTATGTAGATATTGATCAGAAATGTTGACCTTGATGGTACAAGTGTGCTACAAAAGGTCCCGAGCTTTTCTTTTTCTTTTTGGATGTGAAATGACACAAAAAAAGGTTTGTATTGAAGGTTTACTTCAGTGTAAAAGTTTTTTAGATTGAATAAAGTGTTGTAAGCCACATTCTTGACGGTAGAAACTACGGCAGGATTGTGAATGAGATGGATTTAGATGCTTATGCTTTTTTTAATCTTTGGTATGGATGTGAATGTGTGTGAATAAGAGCCCCTCAAGTGTGTCGGCCATGATGGTTTTTCAAGAGTAAATGTCATGTCTGGATTACATTTTTTTTCTCTGAATTCCCTGAGAATGAGCGACACACTTGAGGTCTTGGCAACTGAAACCTGAAGCAGTGTTGATGAAAGCTCGGCCGCATTCCTCATCATGTCTCTCCCTCTCTCTCTCTAACTTTCTCTCTCTCCCCTCCCCTCCACGTTAAACCCCCTCTCCTCCTAACTCCTCATCTCCTCCCGTCTTTTTCTCGCCTCCTGCTGTGCTTTGTGTCTCCCCTCTCCCTGTCCTCTCCTCTGCAGATGCAATTGGCGGGGGTTCGGGCCTGGGCACCGGGGCCATCGTGGGCATCCTCATTGTTGTCTTCTTCCTGCTGCTGGTGGGCGTGGACGTCACCTGCTACTTCCTGAACAAGTGCGGACTCCTCATGTGCATCGCTGTGAACTTCTGCGGGAAGGCCGGGCCGGGCGCTAAGAGCAAGGACATCGAGGAGGGGAAGGCTGCGTTCACGTAAGTAAACGTCCTCCCTTCCGGTTCACAACGCACGATTTTGAATGTTTTTGTTGAAGCCACACTGATCAATAATTGTGTACTGACAACTATTGATTAGATTCCCTGAATACACATTGTTTTGCAGCCCCGTCACTGTCACAGAAACTTGAGTCCTCTTCTCAAAGGTCACCACTGTGGGTCATGTTAACACAAACACGACAACAACACATAACTTCGGCTCAGACAATGATCTTTATCTTAACCTAGCTGAGTACTTTTGGACCTGAAACCTAACCCAAATGTTACCACTAATAAAATAAGAAACCTAAGCATAATAGATTTGGGCTCAAAAAGTACTTGGTTAAGTTTTGGAGGAGATCATGTGAAGTATTTTTCTTCAGTTTCAAAAGTCTTTTTGTTCTCCTTCAGTTAACCTCCTGCAACGATGCTCAACCATCTAGCCTCTACAAACAGCATCCCTGAGTGGGCGGGGCCGACTCTCTTCCCCCACATGGTCGCAGGTCTAATGGTTGGGAGGGGGGGAGGGGTTCACATGAAAAAATTACTTTACTCTAAACTCTACAACACGCTTAAAAAAAAACATTTAAAAAACTGTAGTGCTGTCGGTGTGAACACAGAGCTCACAACAACAAACCCAGAGGAAGTTTGACTTCACTCTTTTTCATTTTTAGAGGCATTACTCGACGACACATTTCTTTAGGATATATTTCATATCTGCTATATTAATGTTTAAAATGTTGCATATTTTACCTTTAATAGTAAACCTATTATGTTAAAGTTTTGCTAGCTTAACCAGAAAAGGGAAGGCAACACAATTTGAGTTAAAGAGAGCGTGTTATAGGAGATATATTTATTTGTATCAATGCATCTGCCACAGTATTCTGTGTAATACCCAATGTAATGTAGGGTACCCACCACAGACTAAATGGTGTATTTTTAGGGACTCACAATGTTGAATGTGAACAGAGTTAGCTTATAGTAAGAGTCCAAACTGGAACTATCATCTACTCTGTGTTCCCATGATCTCTAGAAGATTTTTAGTGTCTGTCAGCTCATTTTTTCCAAGTAGTTTAAAAAGTAAAGCTTCATAAACCCCCTGAACGCTACCTGTCCTGCTCTTATTCCCACAAAGTAAGTGACTAGCTGGTGATTTAGATGACCACAACTACAACTGTCGTATGAGCATTTGGCAGTAAAATATTCACATCTGTTCTTTACCTTGTTAACATCTAATCGTATCAAAATTCAGTGATTGCATATGTAAGCCTCTGTTTGATCAAAAATTCTGTTCCATATATTGACTGTCTTTGATTGTACCAGCGCTGAACATCACAACGCAGCACAACAGAACAAATAAATATTTCAACTAAGCAGCTTAGATGAATCAGACATAATGAAAGTCAATAATGAAGCTCGCAGAGTTTTTATTTGGCCCCGTCAAACAAACACTTTAAAGCGCAGCGCAACCACGGATCAGTGTGATGACAACAGACAAGCCCCCGGGGGACACAGCTACACTCGCAGGCTGCAGGTGGAGGACGATCAAATGTTTGAATTATAATGAGAGTGTGTTTTTCCATCTTGTTTCTTCATTCACAGCAGCTCTAGTTGCTGATTTTCAGAATGTAAATGGAAATAGACTTTCCTGTTACGTGTGTGATGGGGTAGATTTCTGTTACAAAAGTAGATTATGGTCTTATTAGGGCAACCTCAATCTACCTGTGTGACCAAAACATAGCACAGAAGTCCAAGCTCTCCTACGATCTGCCGTTGTTAAGCAGCAAACAACGTTAGCGTGCTAGCTTGCTAACAGTCTGCTGCCCTCCGACAATAGGAAAGATGAGTCTAAGGAGCCCATTGTTGAGGTGAGAACGGAGGAAGAAAACACCCCCAACCAAACAGGGGGTCCCACTGAGCCCAACGAGACCACACCTTTGACAGGACCTGAGTGAGTACAGAACTGAACCGCTACCCCACGTCCAGGGAGCGTCCTACACTGAGCTGATGTTTCTGTTTTTGAAATGAGGAATTTAGAGCTGAGCTGGTTAAAGAGGAGGTGTTGTGCTGTTCCATTTTATAGACATGCATAAATAGTTACTACTATTAAATCAGAATGTCCAAGTAATCAGTCTTAAGAGCTCAGACCGCTTGCTTGACGAAACACAATTAACCCTTCGTTGAAACTCATTAGTTTGTAACTAAAGTTCTGCCATTGTTTGGTTTCACCATGGAGACATAAGGTACATCTTAACTAGGAGAGAGCTATGGCCAAACTGCCTTAAAGAGACGGTACCTCAAATCCCCTGTTTTAGTCAAAGCTGAACTGAGTGTTCAGGTGAGAAAAATAAGGATTTAAAAAAAAACTCAGAGGCTCTACAGAGTGAAAATGTAAAACTTGAAATGAGTATAAGTTTGCCCCTTTAAGGGTTACGCATTTGATTGACCACTATAAAAGCTATGGGGTCTCTGATCTTATAAGAACGTATTTGTATAGATACCTGTAATCATATCACACACAAAAGAAAGCGTCGTGCAACGGGTTTTAAATGAGGCCCGCTCAGATCCAACCAACTAAACCCCTTCCTCTTCCTGGGTCTTTGCTTTATTTTAAATACTCTAGCATCCTCATCCTGAAACTCCCGTACTCTTTCTATAGTTATTTGTTGTTGTTTTTTTGTTTTTCCCTTCACAAATATTTTGTTGCTAACATGTTGATTGTGTAGGTTTTCTGTTTTCACTGCAGCACAGCAGAACTCACTCTGCCTTGTTTATTCCCTGACTTGCACTCCCCCCCTCCTCCCCTGTATTCTCTCTCTCCCTCACTTTTCTGTTTGCTCTATGCTTCCTCCCCTGTCTCCTCCACTCCTAACTCCTCCTCCTCCTCCTCCTCCTCCTCCTCCTTCCTTGTTTGTCCCGCTCCTCCCCACCACACAGGCCTGCTGCTGCAGACACCGCCACCACCACAGTGGTGAACTTGCTCCCCTCCACTGCCACTAACTCAGTTGCTGAGAGCTTTAGCACGGCGCAGAGCAGTCCGGTTAGCGAGAGCACCACGCTAACCACCAGCGCCTCCAGCCCGACCAAAGCTGCCCCCCAAAACAGCCCCGCTGCACAATCCAAAGCTAAAACCCAACCTGATGTTGGGCCCCTGGTTGACCTGAGTGACACCCCTAAAGTTGCCCCCTCGTCCGACCCTACACCCCCCGTCTCAGAGCCAATCAGCTCGCCCTCTTCTAATGCCGACGGGCCACAGAGCCAGCCCGAGCCAGTCAAAGCCCCCAGCAGCGCCCAGAGACAGGACTTACAAGTAGACGGCCCAGCCAAGGATGCACCCAATGCCCCGTGCACAGACTCGACCACACCGGCCAAAAATGAGTATGAACACTGCCATATCCCCATTCCTCAACATGTCACATCTGCTCTGCTAGCATCCCAATGATCGACAAGTGTGCCAGTTTGAAAAGGAAAACCCCACCCTAGATCGAACTTTTAGCTTTCATCCCAACACAAGTTATATCATTTGTTAGCATCGCTTTACAAGCCCAGAGTCTTACAAAAGTGGGTAATCTTTAATTTTCTAAAATATTCTTAGTTGATTTTCTAAATGTTTCATTACGAGTAAAGGTTCAGGAAATGGTTAAGGACAATGAAAGATAGAAGAACTTCTTCACCTTGGTATTCACTTCACACAAAAAGTGAAACACCTTCTCACACATATACAAAAACCAAGGGCTAACGGCCTTCCAACAAACAAGCAGTCTCGATCAAAAAGCTTTCTCATCATCATTTAATGGTGAAGGTGCTCGATTGTTCAGAACAAAAAAGTGAGGTTTTAAAGATTTAAGGAGAGAAAAGAGTGTCTCTTAGACTTTCATCAGTATTTCTAAGCCCTCCTGTAAGTTCAGCGTGCCGGTTTTTGCCTGATAAATATTTTAGCTGCGGGCTTGGCAAACAACTTTCAATAAATATATTCTGTTTATATTGTAGGGAAAAGAAAGAGAGGGAGAGACAGTGATGTGTCCACCAACAACTGCCTCTTTTTAATCCATGAATGAAACAGAGCCAGAAACTCTGTTGCAGTTTGTCGTGGGTGCACAGCTGTGATCGAAGCTGGATTTGATAACGTGAATGAAAAGCATTGGATTCAGTATTTTATTCATAAGCCATCCTTATATTGAACACCAAGAATCGAAGGATAATTCAATAAAGTAACTAAAATGAGAAGGACATTTGGTTAAATAAAAATGTATTCCCAACCTCAAGTGTTTTTTCAGAAATGCCTCGGGTGTATAATCATTGTAGGAATATTCAAAGGGTGGAGTTTTCCTTTAAGTATTCAAGTAGATGGCATGTTGAATACATTGGGATGCTACCAGCCTTCATTCAATCTCCACCTCAACCCTCCACCCGTACGTCTGCTCACTTCACAGAATCAACCTCCCTCCTACCGCACAGTTTGCTTTGGTTTCAGCCGAATGATGATTTGCATGAAAATTAACTTTCCAGCTTTTCTTCCAGGAATACTTCTAAGAGTACAGCTGTCACACTACCTCCAGTTATCACAGCACTAGATGTTCTTAAATTCAGAAATATGAATATACTGCATACGTCAAGAAAATAGGAAATATAAGCTTTTAATTTATATAAATGACCCAAACGTGTTCCTCCTTTTTTAAGAGCAGAGAAACAACATTTGGTGGAGAACTCTACAGAATAGTGTCGTCTCTCTTAGTTACTTGGGCTCTTTCAAGTTAATGAAAGACTTATTAGAGAGTGACCTTCAGCAGCACCACTTCTGTGTCCACTTGATTTTGATTAAAGATTAAAAAAAACATTTTGAAGGTTAATTAAAAAAAGGGGGATCTCAGAATCTTTCCTGAACACATCTGCTTTCTGTTGAGAGGCCTTTTTTTTTTTTAGATCTTGCGCTATGATGGGTATCATTTGGAGTTTTTAGATGATCTTGAGTCATGGTGAGAAAGAAGATGATGTTCCGAGGCTTACTGACAATCAGTCCTCTGTCTCCCCCTCCTTCATAGCGTGCTTTGCTCACTCACATGTCCAGTAGCAGATGTCAGAGATGAAGAATGGAGTACTTAAAGCCGAGCTCTCTCTTGTCAGCTCAGCATCACCTTGATCTAACCAAACCTGTCATTGAAGGGATTTCTCTTCATATCTCTATGACAGGACAGAAGCACAGCCCTCCCTGTGATCTAAGTGGTGATCCTTCTCCAGCATCCAAACATTAGATGTCCTGTCAGACTTCCTGTGGGTTTATTGGATTTCTAAGGACCGTACTTGTTCTCTGGACCCATTATTCTCTGTTGAGGAGAGAAGTTTTTTTTTAAAGAAATTCCAGCATAGTCTGTATAAAGAATGGATTGCACAAAAAAATCAGGAGACAAGTGAAGCCAAAGGATTTAGAGCTTCCCCTGCTGACTTGCTGTAGTATATCCAATAAACCCCGCCTCCTCTATGTTAACAGATGGGACATGGGGAAATCTTTAAAATTAAAATAAACATGAAATATATTTTGGTCAAACATGGTTTATGTCGTCAAAGTTAGTTCTTATCGTGCTGATTTAAATCCAATTGTTAATTTTTCTGAGAACTTTAGTTTTAATTAGTTATTTGATGTAAAAAAAAAAAAGAGCAGATGCAATGTCATGATTGACAGCTCTGTTGACAAATGCAGCTCTTACATCGTTCTTTACCGGATTAGCAGAGTAGAGGAAGAAAGGTGAGAGGAGGCGAAACAAAAACTAACACAAGAGTCATTCAACTTTCCAAAACTGTTAGTGTCTGCTTAAAACTGTGTGCTATGGACTGTAACATCCCGAGGGATCTTTTGACGTTTTATCTGTTTGTTTAAAGGGATAGTTAAGTATTTTTTTGAACTGGGGGTAGTATGAGTAGGGGGGGTGCGGATAACCAGGATCAGTATCTTCAACGGTATGACGTTCTGCCACGACGTGGATTTAGGCCGTGCCGTCATCTCCAGTTTGAATTCACACTTTTTGCTTGTAGAAATGTAATAACGACTCGAAAAGTTGTAAAAAAAAAAATGTTATAAAACCCAAAATTTAATAACTGCTCAATAATGTAACAAGATGCTGAGCCAAAAATGTAACAACTCTTTCATTAGGTTATTACATTAAGGAGCAGGTAAAATATGTTAGTGATAGTGTAATAATTGTATTACATCATCGAGTGAGTCAATCATGTATGGATTAAAGGGCATATTGCTTCAGGCCTATTTGTGACAGTAACTCATTATTATTAGTATTATCAGTTATCGAGGTTCTCATGGTGACCTCGAACATTAAAGACGTTAAATCAGGGCTGATCTGTTTTAAGACAATGTATTTATGGATCCAGTATATGGGGCAGTTCCTGGTCTAACTTTGCAAGGTCCACAGAGAGCATGTATATGTGTCAGCAGGAAGAGAAATGATTGATTAAAACTAAAGTTTGTATTTGAGAACTGGCTCAGAGGACTGAAAAACGAGTTTTACGGTATGTGACACCACAGTGAAGAACGAAGGGAAGCAGCACTGTACTGCTAATATATTCCAACAAAGGTACAAACGCTAACACCAGAAAATGTTCGACTTAACCCAAGAACAGCTTTAAAGTCTCCTTCCCATTGTGTCCTGGCTCGGTCCAGACGGCGTGTAATCCTCTTGTGCATTGTAGTTTGTGTTGTAGGTTATGCCTCAGTCTCTCATTCCCTTCATGCATTGTGCGTACTGTACCGGCCCTGTCTCATTCCACATCAGCATTCATTGTTCCCTGAAAATAGCTGTGACATCCATGTACTCTTATTTGATGTCTGGCTAGGATAGTGAGCTTGATCCCATTATGTGTGAAATGCATTCAGTTCCAGGAGGGAAAACAAATTCCCTCAAAGCATCTTGCATGTTTTCTCCCCGTTTCTCTCTCGCTTCTTTCTTTGAAAAATGACACAAAAGGCAGCTCAGAGCAGACAGTTTAGCCGTGAGAGACAGACTTAGTGATTCGCTGTTAACTGAATCTTTTTTTTTTTGTCTATCCCCTTTGCTGCTGCTGTTTGTCCCCGTAGCGGAAAGACTGTGAAGGACGATAACACCAAAGGTGAGACGGAGGTGAAGAACGCCACGGCCGAGGTGAAGACAGTTCCCAACGAGGCTCCCCAGACGAACGGCAACGAAAGTAAAGCGTAATCTCCTCGCCCAAAACAGTGCGAAGAAGAGGGTGGTTGGGTTGGGGGGGTGGGGGTATGGGTGTGGGGTTTTAGGGTTAACACAAGGGGGGGTCACAGTCACTGAAACCTCAAAGCAATGTCACACACCACCCCATTGCATCAGAAAAACAACAAAAACAACAGAAAAAAAAAGAAATCATGGGTCTCTTTCTGCAGCGTCTTCTGACCAATGGAAAGACCTCATGCACATGCCTTAGTTTCTTTTTACGTCCGTTTCTATCTGTTTATGTCACAAAAGAAAAAAATATTTCCACACATACTACACCCTCTCTCTTGTATGCTATGTTAAATTGATAAACTGTTAAATACGAAGCAGATCTATACTATTTTTCTCTAGATAACCTCGGTTGGGCGTTAGCTTTACTTCACAGATTACTGCCCTCATGATTCACACACATGTCAAACTGGTACATTACCAATACTACTATTCTACATGCAGTACGGTCACCGCCGTGGTAATGGATTATGGGTCGTTATTTCTTTTTGTCGATATTTTGTTGTGTTTAAATAATGTGCAGATGGTACTGCCTATTTAGCTTCTTTTTTTTTTTTGTAATGTGTTATTTCCAGAGCTTAGAGATTAGAACGTTAGCATGCCTGTCTTTTGCAAAGTTACTGTATTTCTGTACATGTTGCTGTCATTTGGTTCCTCTTGAGATGTGTGTGTTTTTTTGGGGTTTTCTTTCTCATCAATGTTATCTCATTAAAGTTCTGGTTCAGAAGTCATTCAGCTTAAGTTATGAGAAATGGAAAGAGACATTAAAGAAGGATTTAACATGCCATTCAAAGTCAACCCTGTCTTACTAGAAATACGTTTATACTGTCTTCATGGATTGGTAAATGGTTTCCTCCAATACTTTATAAAAGAAACTTAAGTGCTGAATTTTTGGGCTCTTTATGCCTTCATTTTAGAGATAGGATAGAGTTTGAAACCGGGGGGGAGAGAAAGAGTGGAGAATGACATGCAGGAAAGGAGATACAGGTCGAATTTGAACCTGGGATGCCCGATCTCGTGGTCTAAGCCTCTGTACATGGGGCGCATGCACTATCTGCTAGACTACCGGCGCCACCTGAAAGTATCATATTTGATTATAAATACGTTTTTTAGAGTAATTTAGGATTCCTGCATAAACCACATGGAATTTGTAGGGATGAAATCGTGATGCACGATTGGCGTACAAAGTCCGTCATCCCATATGTAGTTTTTTTACGTCCACTTAAATAAGTAAGCAAAGAACTATTTTGTACTGAACCCAATCTTTTCTAAATCCCTACCTGAGTGCTTTGGGTCGTGTACACACACCTATTAAAATGATAGTCATGTTTAATGCTAAAGAGTGCAAGTTGTCAGAAAACAATTTTTTTTAAATTCTCTTTTTTTGGGGGGGTGGGTTCTTCATTCTTCGACATGTTCATTATAAATATTAACTTATTATGTTCACAAGATATTGATCTCAATATATTTACTGTTTAAAATGAGCTGTTCATGAATGTCATTTTTACGAGACAGGGTTGAGTTTGGTTTAAGGAAATAGTCACATGTAAGACTATAGCTGTGTTTTATTGACATGTCCTCGTCCTTCAATGTCCAGAAAAAGTCAGAAAATGCCAATTCATATTGAGAAATGCGTCCTTGACTTTGCTAGACTGTGTCAACTTGTGTTGAGAGAGGTGGCACATGTAATGGGACGCAGCTTATGTCAAAGTTGTTAATATTGTCATTTTTGTTTTCTTTTGGTCAAGGTTAGACTACATCCTATCTTTCTCACTCACTCCTCACGTTTTCCGGAGGTCTTCTTTAAGCTTTCAGTTCCAGCCCTTTGCCTGACAGGCTCAGTCTTAACAGTCACCTAAAAGGCAGCATGCGTTTTGTCGAAACAGTTTCAGTCAGCAGGTTCAGACTGAGAAGTAGACATGTTTGGTGACATGTTGGACATCTTCTTCTTCATACAACACTTTCTCTTACAATTGGTCTAGATCATCAAATTTAGTTTGCTTCCTTTGAGTTAACCAATTCTTCCAAATCTGTTCCCCTTGTTCATGGCCATTGTAGCCATCAGCTTGCTAACCTCTATGGTTCACTGCAGATAACCGAAAGGTTGATGGCTCAGCTTGCCAAAACTGCCTCGAGCTTGTGTCACCTCTGCTTCTCGATCTTTCAGTAATGTATTTTTTTTTTTGTCTGCAGTGTGCGTGACATGGATTGTAGGTTTAGTAACAATTGTCGGTTAGTCTACATAGTTTATCACTACATTCTTAGTAAAAAGGTAAACTTACTGGATATATGGAAAAAGTCTGGAAAATGTTAAATAAGTCACATTCGGTTTGAATGTGTTGTCTTTATCTGTTACACCTGGCAAGATATTCAAAACATAAAAAGAACACAGGATGTAAGATTTGATGCGTTAAACCACAAAGAGATGACAAATTGAAATGTTTTGGTGTTGACGTGTTTGTCTTTAATTGCACCACCTAAAAGACTTCACTGATTTCTTTGAGCAATTCAACCCATTATTCGACCATATATCTCAGAAGTCTGACTACTTGATCATTATCTGATTCTTCTAAATACATCTGTCCATTGTGCATGTCCATTACCAAACCGAAGCTAGCATTATGCTAATCACAACTGAACAGCAAGTGCTGGGCAGCTAACCTAATTTCCAGTGAAGGAAACTGCATATTTGCAAGGTTTTTTTAGCTAGCGTGGATTGTTGGCTAGCTTTAAAGAAGACATTAGTAATGTAATTCCTCCAAGCTATTCAAGGGGATGTTAAAAAGAAAATGAAACCAGAGGAGCACTTGGACATCCATCATGGCCGTTGGTCCACCTTTCCAAGTGTAACAACCTTATAGTCTGGATTTATTTCCAAAAGTCCCAAAAATTAGATTTTATCAGTTTCATTGCCATAAATCTGATTAAGTTCCACTCCACACTTCATTGGGCTCATCTTTGCCCTATGCTTCAACCATTCACCAAGATCCCCAAAATGTGGCTACTTATTGGCTAAGTTATTTCTCTCAATCAATTCTACTTGGGTTAAGCTAGCTAGCCAGCAAAGACACTGCCAAAACACCAAAAGCTATTTTTTTAAACATCATCAGCTTGTTAATTCACCAGCATACCAGTTTACTGTTTTTATCAGTGAAGGAAGCTAAACCCGGCCTCGCTCTGTTTATTGTAGTACATTTAAGCCCATGCTAATGTTGTATACAACATTAAGCACATTAGCATCAACACATTTTGATGTTGTCTGTCAGCATCTTGATCTAATACACAATGTTCACCAGCAGCAGACTGTCTCAGTCCAGCTTGAATCAGTTACAGACCAGCTAGGACAAAAACAGTCCACTCTACCAATCTACTCCAAGAAAAGTTTGTTAATTAAGTCTTGTCAATTCATACTCATGGGCCATACAATTCTGAATTCAGGTAGCATTAAGGGGCTATGGTTATTAAGCATACAACATGCTAACATTTACAGTAGCATGCACACTGGACAGAAATACAGAGGAGGAAACTTTTTTCAAATAGTCGTTCTGCAATTGGGAAGATTACCAACATTGAAGCTCTTTTAAGTTACAATAATGAAAAAGCCCAAACAGTCACAGGTCCCGAGGAAACCTTTGGAAAAAATAATGTGCTGAGATGCATAACTCTCAAATTTGGACTGAATTCAGACACTCATGAGGGTTCTGCGTAAATGAATGTACACTCTCAAGCCGTTAAACAGTCTCTCTGTGGTCCCCCCCCTTTTTTATTTTCAGAAAAACTGAATGAAGAAGTAATTTGGAAATTAGTCTTTGTTGTTGAAAGTGTTCTTGTTATGGGTAGAAATTAAATGAAGGGATTTTTAAAAAATGCTCGTTCTCAAGCCATAGTGCCCAGCTGTGGATACAAAATGTTAAACAAACACAAGTTTGACCATTTTTTCAATGTACAGTGTTCCTCTTTCTTTCTGTAGACTGCAAGCTAGTACACTGTGAATGTGTGAATCCATTGTGTCCTTTGTCATAGAGTTGAGCAGATAGTTTTCTTGTGAAAAGTCGTAGCTGATAGTAAGTGATAGAATCCCCGACGCCAACGTACAGAAGTCTGACAGCAGTAAACTGGAAAACGACACAGTGCCTTTGAAGAAGAAAATGGTGGCATGCATTCCATTCCTCTCAGTGTCTGTCCATTAAACAGTTTCACATCTACATCTTCTTGCTGATTTGCTTTTTCATTTCCTACATTTCACACGTCTAAGTTATGCAACGTTTTCTTCATATTGTGCCATATATTCAGAACGTGTTGTGGTTTGTATTACACACTGTCCTTGTCAAGGGATCATTCGGCTTTATCTTGTTTTGGTCCGAGTAGCCCAAACGTCTACTGTCAGAATGAACATTGTGCTCAACAAGTTACTAAAGCAGTATCTCACTCAACGGTGTGCTGTTGTACTGAATATCATTTGGTTATAAGCTGAGTGCTGTTCGGATATTTAGTACAACAGCACAGCCTCGAGTGTCATATTTCTTTTACAAGAGGAGGAAATAAAACTCACTGAATGTAATTTAAAGGTATAATATGCGACTTTCAATCTGGTAGATGTTTCCCTCAGCACACCGCCTCTTCTCCTACCCTACTCCTCCCTCCAACCGAGTGCAGCCATGTGTAGGACTGACCTCTATTCTGATACGCAGTCCAAAGTTGATTCAGGAGTTATTTCTTTGAGTATTTTAGACCAAAAAAAAGTCCTTTCTTCGATTCCAAATGCCTGTAGGGTGTTTTTTAATTCACTCTTGGGATAGAACTCTGCGACTGTACCACTAAAACCAACGTCCATGAGTAGGTGGAGTCGTCTCTCTTCCCAGCGTTGTTGCAGGGCAGATGGTTGGACAGGGAGGGGTTCATGTGGAAAACATTTTTTAAAGATGTTTGAACCGCTGAGCGAAACATAAACAAGCTAAAGGAAGCGCTGTCCCATCAGTGTGAACACAGAGCTAAGAACAACAAACAAAG